CAAAAACCCAGAGAAATCCAGGGATAAAAAGAGTTGATTCTTTAACATGGGAGTGCAGAGGGGCCATGTACCTTCTACCCTCTTTCCCAAGGACCTGTCACAGATGAGGCTGACACAGGGCACATGACAGTGCCAGGCAAAAAACAGAGTACCCTGACCCCTCCCAGAGGATTTATGGTCTCTTGATGCACCACAGATATAAATAAATAAATAAGTACCAGAGATAATTCTACCTGAACGTAGTCTAAGTTAATTCTTACATATTTTTGAAAATATTTCTGTTTATTTTAAATCATTTTAACAAACCTTTTTGTTGGAAGGGCATCTCCCATTATAAAGCCTCTACTCTGTGTATTATAGGTCTCTTAGTTTGTTTAGACCAATACTCTTATTTATACTTATTTATTAATCAAGAGGCCTGACAAGCTGCTGCAAATAAAGCTGCTGCTGATTCAGTAGTTTGGTAGGAGAATCATCTGAGGATTAGAATCTATAAACAGCTTTTATGAAAAGATATATTTTTTGTCAATTAATTGGCCTGGAGAATTTTGTCATTTCAATCTGTCACTGTTGAATTTTACTTTACTGCAATATTTAGAAATTAAGTCAAAAAGGAAAAGTGTCTATCTAATGCTTTTGGCAAGCTCTCTGTTAATTAATAGCTTTTTGAAGTACTAAATTTCCTCGGTTTTATCTTAATTAACACTCTTAATTGACCTTCTGTGATCTCTCGTTTCTCCCAAAAGAATTAAAAAATAGACTTCTAAATTCTTTTCTGCAATCAGATTGACATGCAATTGCTTGTGTAGACATCTTCTCTGCCTTCACAAATGTTTTTTTCATTTTTATTTCTTACCACTGAAGTCCCCACTGGAAATTACAGCCCATTGAACCATAGAACTGAAATTGATTGTGCACATAAAAAATCCTGGAACAATTGAATGAAGTAAAGAACTTCCTGAAATTCTGTGCTAAAATCAGAACTCAAGTGACAAGAAAACTTTTACTCAATTTGAACTCACCTGCCCTGGATCACCAAGAAAATATTTTATGTTCTTCCATTTACCCCCAGTGACAGAAAGAATGAGTTTTTCCTTCATTTAGCCTACATCAGAGCACGGTTATAGATGTCAAAGAAGATGAATTTCAGTTCCCAGCATTTTTAGGGTGCATTCTCTATTCCATCTTCTTTATATAAATTTCTTATTCTTTTTGTGAAATAGTGGAAAATTAAAGCTGAAAAGCCCTATTAGCTTTTATGTTAAATTAATTTTTAATTAAAGCTATATGTGTCACATATAACAACTCTAGCAATTGCATTTACTATTTTCTTCTGAAATCTAGAATGCAAGTCTCTTTTGTAACATGTGAGAAACTAGTCAGTTCTTTCTGATGGAGTTTATGGAAGACATTACTAAAAATGCAAATTCTATGTTTTGAGACTTGAAACTTTCAAGTAACTATTAATCTTGGAGCTTACTTTTATATTCCGAGATTAAATAATGACATTTTAAGCACTTAAGCCTTCACTAAGAGCAAGATAAGCAAGCATATATAGTTCATTTCAAGCATTTTAACTAAGTTGATTCCACTGGTCTTTTAATGTCTTTAATGTTAAGCATATGCCTACGTTCTTTTCTGAAATGGTGGAGGGTATTTAGCAGAGTGAATTGCAACCTATAACTATCATTTATTTAAGAATACTAATAAAGTAGGAAGTATGCAAAATAAGGTTTCATTTTTAAGGTAAACAAAGCAACTTTTTGTGAGCATTGCCTTTTTATTACTGCATGCAGCTGTAAATCATGTCTTAAAAGCAAAGCCATCTTTTTAAAATTGTATTTTGAAAGCCAGTGCATTATTTTCTCCTGAGTTGTCGAGACAATTTCCTGTCCGGATCTGGTACCCCATTAATTTTATACTATGAAAAGAAGTCTCTCTAAGCCATAGGAAATAACTTTGGGATTGTTGCACATACATATATCACAATAGATCTGCCTTCTGTAGTTCTGCAGATGATGTTTAACAAACTCCTGTTTATCCTGTTTTGGGATTAATATCCTCCTTCCCCCAGATTTGTGCAGTTACATGGCCTTATGCTACACATAAATGGAGGTTTTTTTAAATTTCCTATGTGTAAAATTTGAAATTTGAGTGCAGTAACAAGGGCAGCTCTTTTTCTAATGAGTCTCAAAAACCCATGACCAAGAAACATGTAAAACTCTCCTGTAGAGAGGGAAATTGAGTGCACAGTGTTAGCATAATAGCAAGGGCTGAGACATTGCTTTGCACTACAGTTTTATGGGATGATATTTTAAAAGGTATTCTGAGACTTATGGATTTTTAGGGATGGCTAAAATAGTTTTTGCATTTCTAATATTACTTTCATTAGAATTTTGAAAGTATGTTTATGGTATCAGATTGAATCCTAAGGTGTTACCAAATCATCCAGAATCTCCACTCCTTAAGTATATTCCCTTCTATCCCTGTGTATCTTCAGAGGAAAAAATGGGATGAATATAAGTGCTTTGGTTTAAAGTATATAATCTGTATTCTGTCATGTACTTCATCTCCCAGGGAAGGTACCTGGGAACTCACTCTGCTGTTTTTATTTATCCTGCCAGTGCAGTATATAGATGAGAGGACTAAGGTCCAATGGTGTTAAAACAAGACATGAAATATTGATTAATTCTTTTTTTTAATTCCTTTTTCCTCCTGAGTATAGCAAATTTCAGATGCTCCTGTCAATATAGTGCTCTCCAATAAACTTCCATTATTGGAAGGGTCCTGATCTTCATCGTGTTCTTAAAAATGGTTATTATGATTCTAAAATGCTTTGAAAGCTCAAGGCCATTGTTTTCCTGGCACAAGAGCAGAAAGCAAGTTAGCAGCAATGCAGCCTTTTATCATGGCAGAATTTTATTTTGAAGTAACATGAATTGGATTGGGAATTTTCTCTGCTAGACAGTAGCAGAACATTCTGGTTGAAGAGATGAAGATCCTGATGGGGCAGATAAACAGCTGTACAGTTTTGTGGCTATAAAGCTGTCAAAAATAGAAGCACAATTACAGTTGGTTTCCACCTAATGAAACATGGGTGTTTGGCGTCCTGCCTTTAGTTTCCACTTGTTGTTCTTCAGTTTAAGTTAACCCTTTATGTTTTATTTCCAGTATGATCTTTACAAAAGCAGCTAAACAGATACTTAGCTGTTTCCCCAAAGGAAAGGATATTTCAGGAAAGGCAGGGATAGAAGTTCACACCAGCTCAACCATGAACAATGACAGACATGGGCAAGGAAGAGAATATTTAACTACTTTCAGTGTTCTTGGACTCAGCTCTGGGAATTGAGGCAATTGTTTTTCACTAAAAAAGCCAAAGTTTTATTTAAACTGGAGTGTACTGGAGTTTCATTAGGAATGTAAAGCTCTTGGAGCTTTTCTAGTATCCATAATAGAAGGTATTACACAGAGAAGGAATTTGAAACTCAGACCTGTATGTGCTAGGTAATTGTCATGATAAAGGTTGTACAACTACATTTTCACCCATTGTCTTAAATAGTATTTAGTTCAACTTGAGCAAGGAAGTAACACAGAATCTATGCCAAAAGCCACTGATTGGTATTTTATGCAGGAGGGGGGAGGCAGGAGACCAGAGTACACTCTTGCTCTGGGCTAGAGAAAAAAACCATCAGATTGGTTCTGCTCACAGGGAAGTTGGGGCTTATAGGCTGGGTAAATTGCTGTAGGGTTTTATATTTCCACATGAAAATTTTATTCCTATGTTTTCAGATTTTGTTGGTGGCAGTAACTGATTTGCACATGGGCTTACTTGGGAGTTCTTTTACAGCAAAATTTAATTGTGTGCTTTCATTTAGGATGGAGAACAGCCTGCTCCCTGCCATGCCCAAAAGCTGAGAGCTTACAGGTGTGCCAGAAAGCTCATCTATCCCCTCCTCTCACTCACACCCAGCTCTATTAAGGTGCTCTATTAAGATGGTTTTGTGGTATCTTTCTTTGGAAACAGGGCATTTAAAAATAATTTGGAGAAAATTATTTTCACTGATTTCAGTCAAACTAAAAGCAATACATGCACAAAGCTGGACGTCAGCCAGTTCATAAACAGCAAGGGCTGGGTGTGCATTCACTACTGGTGAGGTTTGAAAGCAGTGAGTCTGGCATGCCCATGTTATCTGGGTAACTCCATGGACTCCCAGTCCCCCATTGGTAACATTTGTGTGAGCAGAGCAAACAGGATTTAGTTTGTGGTTAACAGTGCATGTGTTTGCTCAACCAACCAGTCAGTCTGTGAGCCAAATCCTTACACATGTAATTTTTCTCACTGGTGCAGGTAATAACTTCTGGGCTGATTGAATATATCTAATCATTTGAGCAAAGACTGTCAATCTGGGCACTTTCTTCTTGTGATTTTCTCTCTGCTATGGTAGCTTGAAGAATGATAACACAAAATTAGGTAAAGGGATATATGTAGAATTTTGGTTTTCAGAACCTTGTATTAGATGATTTTGTACCAAAATATCCTTGGAAGTTTCCTAACTGGTTGAATTTTCAGGTTGAGGATAGCCCACTGCAGATTAAGATTTTGCTTGCAGAAGAAGATGGTGCCTACTGACATGCATACACCACAAATTCCAACAGTACTCTGTGTTTTGGTAAACTTTATCTCATTTTACAAACTCCATTAATTGCTGTCTTTCAGATGAGAGATAAATAAATGGAAATAAATGCTTTTCTGTTTTACTGGATGCACTGTTTGACTTCAAGTATTTAACATGGCTTTTTTTTTTCCTGTGGACAATAACTGGAGGCCCCAAGCTGGGAAGAATGAGAGCATATCTATAAATAATTCAAAGTAGTTGTATGGTTTTGACAGATTGTCAAGCTGCTTAATGCTTTTGTCCCAGGCAATAGATTGTATTTCATTGATAAAGTGTTGATAATTTCTCATTGCAATTTGTTTTGTGTATGTTGTATTTTCACAGAGTCCAGTCAGGTTCATATCTCAGCACGGGTTGGTTTACCTTAATTTTGGCTATGGATGCCTGCTATGGAATTCATGTCTATGGGATGATAAATGACACCTACTGCAAGTAAGATCAAAGAAAATTATTTTCATGCATCTACAATTCTGATGTCTTGTCAAAATTTCACAATTGATTTTAATATCATAAATCCAAAAAATGGATCAGGCAGTCATTTCCCAGTGTTTTGCATTGATGTGACACTATTGTCAGCATATTCACTCCTGATATGGCATGTGCTGTTGATAAAATAAAAACATTTACAAAATCTAACATCAGATGTCATAAGGAGCTATTTTTAATCAAAGATCTTTTTCCATTTCTGAATTAGCTGGAAATAAAATATGCTCATATTCTTTTGATAAAATGTATTTGCTTCCATTGCTAAAACAAATCTATAGAGGAAAAAACTCATACATTGTTTTCTGAATACCAAATACACCTGGAAGTGAAAGAAAATGATTAACCCAGGATAGTTACCTGAAATTACATTTCACTACCATTGAGCAACCTACTTGAACTTTCTCGGTTATATATGGCTTGTTTTGAGTAGTAGAGGGTTCTAATTAGATAATAAAACAAGTCTTGTGAGCTTTATCACCATAAACTGACATAAATTCCAACCAACTACTGTTGGTGACCTTACAGTGACAGTGGATTAATCCTGTGGTCAGAAGTATAACTCTAAACACAGTTTTTAGAAGGCCAAGTTAAATATTTTTATCTACTGTGTATGGTAGAAAAATATAAAATGAAACTATTCCTCATTCATTTGGAAAAGCAGGAAATGTCATGAACTATGTATGGTGCTAGTACATACACATCTATTCTTCTGTACCTAAGCTGGCCCAAGTCCTGCATGTAACCAGTCCAGTGCATCACGAGTTCCTGAAGCCAAGCCTTTGTTCAGATTCTCACTCCACATTCTGCATCACTCCAGTGTGAGACTCATTGCTGGCAGAACCTAAAAAATGTCACAAACAACAGAATTTGAGTCACAGCTGTTTAATTAGGATATCTTAACATTAGAGACTGACTTTTTAGAACTTGCAGATCTCACTTATTGAGTCATCCAGATGGAATGAACAGAATGAACATATGTTGTTCTTTGTTTATGAAAACACACAGTAGGAACCCTGGGATGAGGGGTGACAGGACTAAGGTTATCCTCAGAGAGCTCAGCCAAGCTGGCATTGCATAGCCCTGATGTAAAACCAGTCAACAGCATGATAGCACTGTTGGCAGAAAAGAGGATGTCCCCTTTAAGTTGTGATTCTGACTGGATTACCTACTTAAATTGGATGTTACTCTTATAACTGCCCTGTTCAGCCAGTTCAAGAACCAGTTTCAACAGCTAGGACTATCCAGTGAGAAGACTTTGCTTAGGGAGGGAGCCTTGTGGGCTGAGTTATCACAGGTTAAACAAAATGTGCCATGCCCTTAAGAGCCAACCCATTGGCTTCTCACTGACTGGTAAGATCAGTGTATGCTGAGAGATACGCTGAGCTTTTTCTGCCAAAGGAAAATTCCTAGAAATCGTGATGGAATGAAAGCCCTTACAGTTCAGCAAAGGAATTCAAGTGCTGACACGTGGACAGGATTTCAGATCACTCATAGAATGGTTTAGGTTCGGAAAGACCTTTAAGATCATGGAGTTCAATCGTTAACCCAGCACTGCCAAGTCTGCACTAAACGGTGTCCCAAGTACCACATTTGCACATCTTTTAAATACATCCAGTGCTGGTGAGTCAACCACTTCCCTGAGCAGCTTGTTCCAGTGCTTGACAACCCTTTTGGTGAAGAAATTTTTCCAAATATCCAATTTGAACCTCCCATGATGCAGTTTGAGGCAATTTCCTCATGTCCTGTCACTTGTTCCTTGGGAGAAAAGACCAACTCTTTCTTCATTACAACCCCCCTTCAAGCAGTTGTAGAGAGAAAGGTCCCTCCAGAGCTTTCTTTTCTCCAGGAGGAAGACTCCCAGCTCCCTCAGTCGTTCCTCATGGAAGCTGTGCTCCAGACCCTTCACTGGCTCCATTGTCCTTCCCTGCACTCACTCCAGCACCTCAGTGTCTGTCTTGTAGTGAGAGGTAAATCTTGAGCACAGGATTTGAGGTGTGGCCTCAGCAATGCTGAGAACAGGGAACAGTCATTGCCCTGCTTCTGCTGGCCACACTGTTAATGATCCAAGCCAGGGTGCTTGTATCTTGCATTCAGTTGAATTATATATATATATTTTTTTTTTCTTGAAAAAGTACTGAAGTATATCTTTCTTCTCCCCAGGTCAGAAGGCTTTCGCAAAGTTCCCTACCACTATTACGAGCCAGGAAGAGATGAGTGTGAGGAATACTTTCTCCATGAAAATGCTCCATATGGAGGCCACAGATTTATCACAGAAAAGAAAGTATTTGCTAAGTGGGCCAAGAAGCACACAATAATATTTACACATCCCAACTGGACAGTGTCTTGATACTGGTTTACTTAACTCTCCCTTAACAGCCTATTACAAAAATGTCTCAGTTTACAATCGTTTTGCTTACATCTGGCTGGCCTTTCTCAGCCTAGGTAACACTAAACTAAAAGCCAGAAGACAAAGAGGGTGGTGGTTCAGCTGTTAAGCAAAATTAATCATCTGTGGAAGGCAGACACATTGTTTGTTATTTCTTAGGGTTTTAATCCACACTATGCACTTTATACTTTAACTGGATTTTACTTCATGGCAGGAACAGTTAAAGACAGATGAGATTTCCTGTATATACAGGTGCACACAAAGAGCATGGTGGTCCTTTGAAAATTGTCCATCATCTCAGATATATAAAATTATTATTTGTAGCTCATTTGCTGTACTGAAGCACTAGTTCCATTTGTGGTATCAGTAGAAATTTTCAACAGGAGAAATGTGAGGAAAAATACAGATCTCCAAGGTCCAGGAGTGAGCAAATTTTAAAAAACAACACCTGAATATATTGATATACAGTATATTGTGAGCACTTGCATATATGGTAAAATTAGAGATGAGCTAAGCATGGTTCTTGAACTGTACCCAACTATTGAATGAGAAGATATTACTTACTCAAGACTCTTGTTTAATTAATAACTTCTGAAATGCAGCTTCCTTCCACTGTGGTCAGTCTGCACCATCTGAGACTATGTAGTTTGTGCTTTTTGAAGCTGTTGTCCCACACTTCAGTTCCAGCAGAATGGCACTTGGCAAAGATTGTGTTTTGCAGCCCATGATAAACCTTTGGATGTTATACCAAGCCTGCTATCAGTATCCAAGCTGGTGAGTGTAAGGTTGTCTCACTAATATCTCCATTTACTCCAGTTGTGCATTTGACTTACTCCAACATCCAAATAACAGTGTTTTGACAGTATTTCCCATGCAGCCATCATAATTTATTTTAGATCTCCAGTTTCTCCATCTTTAAAAACAAGGTTAGTGTCTATCTACCTCACAAGAGAGTTGTGAGGATTAATTTAATTTCATTTAAAGCACTTTCCTGATGCAGAATGCTCCAGATCATTTATTCTTAACACAAAAACAATGGTACCTGTCATTTATTCTTGTCTGTTGGGTATTTGAAGAAAGTGACAGTGTGTCTGACTCTGATGGCAAATTGTTCTGTGCATCCACTTTCCTACTGAGAATAATTTGTAATACTGAGTTCTATCAGTTTGCATTGCTTCAGACGAAGTTGAAAGAACCCCCATCTCACAGTATTATCTGCACATTAAAACGCAGTTCAAGAATCTTAAAATACACTCATCTCTAGTTTAAGTATGTATTTCCAAGCTTACTGTCATGGAAAGTTTTCAACTGCAGCAGACTCATTTGTAATATGACAATAATTCAAATGCATATGTGAGTTTTATTTAAACTGTATTTAAACTAATGCTTTAAGTTTAGAATGTTTCCTATGAATATTTTAACATCTAGAATGTCAGATTCAACACTGTAATAGCCAATACTGTGAACACTTGAAGGAATTATGTGTGGAACATGTCACACAGGGTTTACTCACACTACTTAAACATTTACCAACAGGAAACTTTGTATGCTTTTGTAAATCAAGAAAAGTGGAAAGTAAAAAACTATTTTTACATGTAAGTATTTGTATACTGACTGTTTCCTATTGTATATTTGTATATATAAATCTATATTTTATATATTCATTGCATATATATTCTCTCATCAACAGCTCCAACTTACAGGATGGGGAGGAAATCTCTTCCTCAGTATTCCTCCTCCTGATCATTGTTTTCTTGTTCCTGTTGGTAGGTGATTCCAGGATATCATCTCTGTTGCACCTTTTATTTTTTACCATAAATGCAGCTCTCTGATTTTATTTTTTTTATATATATAGCTCAGCTTTCATTGCTTTCTTTAGTACTCTTAACTATTCATTCTGGTTGTCAGACAAAGGCTGGGGCCATGCTTATTATCTTGGATAAACATCTGTATTCAAACACAGACTTTGTCCCAGGTTTCTGGCATGACTTATGTCTCATCTTCCTGTTTGGAAAAGGAGAACAATAGTATTTTCTTACTCCCTTTCTTGACTGACCTTCTTGAAAGCTGTTGAGATGAGTATTCCCATTTTCAACTTATTTGTATGATGCTTTGAAGAAAAGGTGCCCGAAGTGTCTGAAAATTACAGGCAATGCTGTGATATACAAATAATTAAAAATGGCTGTTGCTTGTCCCTGCAGTTTAAAATCCGTTGTATGCTGATACAACATGGGATGAAATCAAAACAGGGGGAAGGGTCATGGTTGGAAGAAGAGCTGTAGTAGAAAAAACAGATTTATTATCATGCGTCTGTTCAGTTCACATAGGTGGCTGGATATGTGGAAAGGTAATAAAAAATTGTAAGGCAGAATTTGAAAAATGCAGGACATGCAAAATTAGGGAGAATGTTCTACGCATATTTTACAGGGCAGCTTGGAAAGTCCTATAATTTCCTTAAGGGAAGAGGAACTGCAAGGAAGAGCATCAGCCAATTGAACTTGTATTTAGAAGGTTTCTGGGTTAATAGAAAACTGCTATGAAAGTGCTGCACATGGAAATTGTTTGGACTGTACAGACTTCCATGGAAGTGTCCTCATGAAGCAGAATGTTTCTCCCCCTGGGTGTTACTCCCCAGTGAGCATAAAGATTCTGCATGAGTTGTGTTCACTTGGTTTTTAAGCTTGAGAAAGTTTTTAAGGTAATTAATACTTGCCAATTCACCATAAATGTGTTGTAAAATACGTGCTTCATTCTGAAGCTCTTTGAAGAATGCTTGCATGCTGTATGAAACACTATCACAAAGGACAGCTAAGAGAAATACAGCCCTAAGAACTTCTAAATGTACACAAAATTGAGAACACAATTAAAGTTTGGGCATCACAGAGCAAAATAAAGGTGTTACTGTCTGCCTGGATTTGCACTTAGAGCAGATCCACGTTAGAAACATTGCAGCAGGCTTCATTCATACTAGAAAAAATTAATATCAGTTCTCTTACTTAAATGAGCCTGTCTTTAGCATGTTAAATGCATTTACATGATTTTTATTGTATGAGTAAGTAACTGTGACCACTGTGTTAAAGATGATTCTACAAAGAAATTACTTGGTTGAAATCTGTTAAAAACCAGCTGTGATCCTAAAAAAAAATGTCAGTTCTCGGGTGTGTATAAGGGATCTTGGTGGTTCACCTTCTGAGAGCAGTTAAGAAATCAGCTGAGAATCACTTATTAATTCTTTAAGATAAAACTACTACAGTTTACCTGAATGTAATCATATCCTAATTGCTTATTCATTCAAGCAGTCCTATTTTAATCAACTACTCATGAGTATAAAACAAGCAGGGAGTTTACCTGAGGTTTTCAAAATGCATTTTCACATTGCTGCTAATAGAGGAGTGCTCAAAAATAGTTTGACCTTTTTTTTTTTTTTTGTCATCATGAGCTGAGTAGTCATCAAAAATTTCTTTTAAAATGTAGGGGGGATTTAAGTAAACTTTTTTTTTTTAAGAGGGGGAAAAGGGCATAAATGGTTTGGTTTTAATAAACATTTAAATGTTAATATACTTTATGTTTTATGTTACATTACCTTCTGACTTTTTATTTTCAAAGTAAAAAGTTTTAAATATGAGCAGAAATTTTCATTTAAAAATATTATTTTTGGCTGGCTAATTACTATTCATAGATAAATGACTGAATAAAATAAGTAAGTGTTGTTTTTCTTTCTAAACTGACATAACAGACATCTTCCCAACCTTTTCATCCCCATTAGATGTCCAGATCACATCCTTCTGCTTATTCCAAAGCCTCTTCTCAGAAAGAAAAAAATTAGTTTATATATCCAGCCAAATTCCCTTTCCATCTGGGCTGGGAGGCTCCATCTGCAGACTGCTCCTATCAGTTACATCAGTAAATGGGGAGGACTTATGGAGAGCTCTACTTAGGAGCAGATGGTGTTCCAACTTCTAAAAAATGCCCCTAAACTGCTTTAGGCAAGGAGTACCCATTGATCTCTCTTGGAAATACTTTACTAAAGTAGTGTTCAGTTTCTTCAAATGCCTTTAGCTCCAGTGTAGAATAATTGTCCTACTCTTTTGAGTAGGAATTATCAGCAATGGGAAAGCACACCCTTTACAGGAAAAAATGGAGGCAAATTCTGTGTTGTTAAATATTTGCACATAAACACCACCATGGATGAAGAAGTCAGCCTGACACAAATTATCTGAACCACTCACTGATTTAGGACTCTCTGAGGACTCTCTTCAAAACTAATGGAAGTGGCTTTGGCAAGTTCATGGATACAGCACCTAGCGCAGTAAAATCCTTGCACTCCTGGGTGCCAGGGTAAGCAGTGTTTTGTCTGGGAAGTACCAAAGCACAAAATACTTGGCAGAATTAATAAAGACAGACCTATCCAACTCTTGGAGGGCTGATGGTCTTCCATTATTCACCTGCTAGCGGGCTGGACTGAAGTAGGACTCCACACAAAGATAGCTGGTAGCAGAGCACAGATGCTCAACCAGAAGACATGTCCAGGTAAGTAAGAACTAAGTAAATAATCCCTTATGGATTATAGCTGGATGATGCTCTTAGTAAGCAGGAAATCAGAAGCACTTTACATATTGATGCTTAGAATTTGCTGTCTTTTTTCTGCATGTTTTTTAGAAATAGTGTGTCTTTAGTTGTGCTGAAGCAACCTGGGGTGTGTTCATGATGAACCTTAGGGTACCCACAAGAGTGAACCTCAGTGTTAGTATCTGTGGGCGTTGTGATTACTGTGAGCAACGGTCATATTTTTATTTTTAAAAGTCCTGTTATTCCTGAATATATTTAGTTCCTTTGGGGAAGAAACGTTTCATTTTCAACAGATCTGTTTCATTCTGTTCCTTCTTTCCTGAGAGGATGCACAGGAATGAAACTTAACCATAGAGCCGTGAAGCCAGCCACCAGATTGGTTTGTATTTTTCTGGCTATTGCTGTGATGTGTATGGCTAAAGTCATAAGGAAGGGGAAGCTTTTTGTAAACCTTGTCTAGCATAATCTACAGAAGATTGTGTGTCTGTTCTGGATTAGAGTCTCCTAGGCAAACCCTCCAAAAGGGGCTGAAGGAGAAAGAAAAGGTCTCTGTCCATTGAAAGAGAGGACTTCTGTGGAAGCCATACTAACACGTGTAGCACATCTGGGCCTGCTCCCCCAGATTTTGTAGGTCCCCACCCAGCTGCAGCTTTGGGCTCTTTCCAGCCCCAGTGGAGAAGAATTCTCCATCTGATTTAGGCAGCCTGTGATCACACACAGCCTGCCCATCCTCCCCTTCTGTGGACCAGGAGAGTGCTGAATCTGCCCTGGGGCTGCCATGTCAGAGCAGGGACACACTTCCCAGTCAGCAGCATGATTTGCTTGGGGCACAGTCTCACCTCAGGTGCTGAACTCAGTTTCTTTGAATATGATAGAAAAGATATCACTGGGTTTTGTTATTGTTTGTATTATTAACTCACAAAGAGTTACTGTTTCATGGATGTCTTACACAGCTGATTTCATGTCTTTTTTTTGCATTGCTTGCTGCTATTTCTGGGAATTCCTCAAAATATGCAGCTGTCAACATCTGCCACTGCTGTTCTAATTTACTGGAAAGAGACTGTAAACTTGAACTAATGCATGTTCTTACCATGTATTATGCATGATAGCATGTTACACATTTTATTCTCCACTATAATAAATAATGTAAGTTTTGTGTAAACTTAGTTCACAGGAGAAGTAGTACTTTTTCTCATATCATGTTTTGCCCAGAGCACTTTGCTGGAGCTCTGTAAGTGCCATTAGCAGCTGGCAGCAAATAAACTGCTGAAACCAGTCAGGAAATAATTACTAAATTTGACATTTTTCACTGAAATATCAGAAATAATTCAGCTTGCTTTTGTGAACCTGTTTTGGCATTCACTAACACAGTTCTATGTTCTGTTCTAAGGAAATCTCACATCCCTAGTGTAACTTGGGAATGACTTTTTTGACACTGATGTTGTTAAGAGGTTAAGAGGGCAATGATCACAAAGTTTGTTTATTTATGGGAGTATCTTTTAACTGCAAGTTGAACATGTGGAAGATTGGCTAAGATGCCTGCAGAGTTTTTAATAATTTTGCTACTGAAAATAATATTTCTGAAGATGGTTGAAGGAAAAACAAATTGTTTGCTCACTGCTCTTTT